GTTACTATTTTGAGTGGGAAACACATCCATTGCATGCAGATAGACAAATGCCACCAAAATAGACAATAAACAAAAAATGTATAAAATAGTGACTGTTATGTCTACTACATCCTTAAGACAAGAACAATGTAGAGAAGGACAGACCCCCCCCCCCCCCAACTCCAAAAAAAACCCATCTATTCTTCATCGAATGCAACAGGCAAGGTAAAAATAAAAGAGCTTATTATCCACATTTTTAGTATAAGTTTGTGGTTGTTTTTTTTTTTATTTGAACTTTTAAGCTGTCTCATTAGCTATCAGTATTCAATGATATCACAATGTCTTACCTCCTGGCAGTATCATACAGTGCTTGTTTACGTTCTTCAAAAGACATCTGCCTCTCATTTGCAGATCTTGAAAAGTGTGACGCTGAAAACTGAGTTGCCTGCAAAGTAGATAAGTTACAGGAACTAAATCAGAAAAAATGAGCCCCAGTTGCATAAGTCATTGAGTATTATAATAGTATACAATGTAGCTGCACTGACGAATACACGCTGGAGCTGTACTCAGAAATAATACTTTATGGTTTGTATTATCATGTGTCATATTATACTATGAATATAAGCTGCATTGTATGCAATTCACAACAATAGCCAATCTATAAGAACCCAACTAAAAAAGGTTAGTAAATAAAGTTTAGAAAACATTCGGGCACAGACAATTTATATCATGTAAGTAGGAGATAAATCATTAATCTTTTGAACAATAAATTATATACAGATGTATTAAGACTGATAATTCCCAGAACTACCAATAACACAACCCAACAGACTAACAAAATAAAATTTGGTAAAGCAATTACCTCAGAAAATAATCTATACTACATATAGTAGTTAAATCCAAAAGCATATTGCAACACTAGAGGGCGCAATACTTATTTATCACCATGGATTTAGAGTCTCTAAAAAAACTTGCCCAATGACTGAGAAAAACATTGAAATGCAAAAATTCATCTTGACTGAACTATTAGGAATTTATTTAACAGCAAATATAACCTCCAATTTGCAAGTCCAAATCATAGCATTTCAAAGCACGGAGTTCAGTGGAAGCATAAATGAAGTCATTTAATTAATATAAGAAGCCTCACAGGTTAGACCAGCTAATACATCAATATTGCAATTGCATGCATGAAATTAGTGCCATCAAAAACCTAATCACAGGTAGATTCACTGAAATACAAACTATAATAGTTAATAATTTGACCAACAACTAACGGTACATGTATCTGATGCAATATGCCAGCCATCCGGACATACTCAAACATTCCAATCCATCCCACGAATCTGACTTGGGCATTTATGTATTAAACCACTGATTGAGATACCTGTTATTTGTTATTGAATGCAATTTTATGTAGCCAACTCGCATATTGTCAAGATTAAGAGACACATCTCCTGACACAACCTAGCCACATTTTAACACACCAGCTTTAGCTTTGTCTTAGGTTGTTGTCAAATGTTTACAAAATACTAGACAAACATACCCATATGAAAAAAAAAAAACTACAATTTGTAACATCTTGGTATCCATATTAGAATGTTGATAGTCCTTGTGATGATTAAATGATTCCATCAAATGACGTAATGCATCTATGCAGGCCATAGGGGGTAGAAAGACTGTTATAGACTGAAGACCTTGCTATTAATTATGCATGCCTCTGAATGACGTAGTAAAATATATACTATAGGTGGAGCATAGAAAGGTCAAATCATGGGTTTTAATTGTCGCGCAAAATTTCTCTCAGCAAAACTCTGATGAAGGTTTTGAATAAATATTGTATTTTTAGTGAATATTTGCTTTTGGTGTAGTTACTCATCACACACTGCAGAACCTATGATTGGTTAGCAATTTCATGTCATCATTCTACCTGTTAGTTACATTGATATGCTACAGGAGAATTTCTCCGCAGTAGTGAGTGATGGAGTAGTGACCTACAACAGTCCCTTAAGCCTTATGACCATTGCTTGAAATGTCTATGGCATTTTGCATTTTGTTATTTGATTAAAACATTTTAGTGAAAAACAAGACATTGTCTATTATTTTGATACATTTTGGCCTAAAAATGGCTGCCATTTGGCCATCTTGAATCGGGTGATGAAATAAATGCATGTGCATATGTCGGATATAATGTATAATGTATGTGTGAAGCTTGAGATGTGCGAGATACTGCTGGATACGGCCAGACATGCGAATGGACAAATGGAGGTCAATATAAAAGTTTAGGTTCCGTCCAAAACTAACTGAATCAGGCAACGTACACATGTACAAGTGATGAATCAGCATAGAAATAAATAAAAATGGCTGCTATTTTTGTTCAAATCTCGAAAAGAAACATGACGTGCACCTGTGAACCAATATGCATGATCCTCACATAAAATTTGAGTGAAATCGTTCAGCTGATTCATGAGAAACTGTTCGACATATTTAAGGGAAATGAGCATTTTTGCTTCTGCATCATTATTATACTTACACTAGGTGATGGGGTTAACGGTGTGGATGTCCCACTGGGCATAGCAGTAGCACCTTCTAATAAGTCAGCTTCACCATCACCACTAGATGGTGATGTATCTATTGGAACAAAGTGTACTTGACCTTCTAATATACGGCTGATAGTTGTGTCCACACAAGAAGTTTTCTCTGAAAAAATGGAAATACGATCAACTATAAATTATCATTTGAATGTGAAAAAGTCATGATATGATATAGTCTAGTTTGTCTTCAATGTAAATTAACCCAGGTATAAATGTGTCATATGATAAACAACTAAAACAAGACATGCATGTCTATGGCCAGTTTGAATTTCATCTAAAAACAAAATAATAATGTCGCGTTATGTTCAATATATGTACCAAGTAAGTTTGAACGAAATATGTGCATAACCATGACCTGTTACCAAAATGACAGAAATGCTAGATTTTGATGAATTCTAGCACTAAAGTTGCCTCCAATCAGGCATCTTGAATCAAATATGGAAACTAATGTACATGTATATATATTCAAACAAATGAAATTTGAACATGATCATCCCCGGCATGTCAGATGTATCTTTGGGAGATCGAACATATAGATGGATAGATGCACACAAGCCTGTTATTCTGATGAACCATGGATATATAAAAGGTAGAAAGAATCTTGGATGGAAGTTGTCAAGAAGATGATAATGACAATCATCGATTACTGTAAAATACTTTAATCGCTGAAAAAGTTTGTTGGGTGCTCTGTCTGTATGGTGTTTATTTCCACTGATTTTTTATGAGTTGAATGTAAAATATAGGAAAAAATGTATAGTCGTTGGATTTTATTTCCGTGAAAATAATTTACAGTATTTTACAGTAACTACTTATCTTAAATGACATTTTAAAAAAACTGTAAAGTGATCAACTATCACAAGTATAAACACATTAATAATTACATACCAAGATCTTTTCTGATAACATCTTCAGGTACATGTGGAAGAACTTCTTTGACCTGACTTGCCATAACACTAAACCTATCAGGAGTAGCATAACGATTGGCTGATGCTGGTAGTGATGATGATGACGAAGAGACTGAAGTCTGTCTAGATGGCGGTGATTGCACAAACTGTTGCTGACTATACACATTTCTGTTATGTCTATTTTCTGTGTCAAATGAAACAAAACAAGCCATGCATGGCGAAGTCCCTGTTAGTTATCAAATTTAAGAAATATAGTTTTGTTTAAAGTAATATAGCTGGAATATAACCATGTCAGGAATATGATTTTTTTAAGATTAAAATGATTGACATTTGTATCGGATCGTCAAACAAGTACTTGACCATATTGAGAGAAATTGCTCTGGAACAGCATTCAAAATCAGCCATTTTGAATACATGTATATATATAACATGATGTATAACGAATATATAAAATTTGAATATAATCAGTCAAAACAAGTCGAAGATATGGGTCTAGAAGCCCATTCATTAAAACAAAATGGCCACCAGTCAGCCATTTTGAATCCCATCTGAAAAATAAAATGACGAGCATCAGGAACCCGTAATGTCTAATGTATATACCAAGTTTGAACGAAATCCACCCATAAATGCTTGATATTTGATGATTTTTTTAGGTAAAAAAATGACCACCATTCGGCCATTTTGAATAGAATAGTCAAACCAATATATCTGTTTATCTATGACATGATGTATAATGAATATTTCAAATTTGAAAATATCAGTCAAAACAAGTCAGAGATATGGGTCTAGAAGCCCATTCATTAAAACAAAATGGCCGCCAGACAGCCATTTTGAATTCGATCTGAATAATAAATGATGTGCATCAGGAACCTGTAATGTCTAATATATGTACCAAGTTTGAATGAAATCCATCCATAAATGCCAGAAATGCTTGATATTTTATGATTGTTTAGCACAAAAAAGGCCACCATTTGGCCATTTTGAATAGGATCGTCAAACCAATATATCTGTCTATCTGTCGCATACGACTTATTTACCACTTCCGTGTCACTGAAAATGTTCTAGAACCGTACTGTGTCTGGGTGGAATATTCTATATTTTTTTAGGAAATGGTTGAATAGGTAATAGAACACTGTAGGAGGCAATAGAAGGTAATGGAACATTCTAGAAATTTGTAGTAAGTTCCAGATTTATTATGTATGCTGATGTAATGGTCTATTTATAGACAGTGGAGGTATATATAGGGGAGTTCAGATCAGAGATCTTGTTGAATGGTGTTGGAGTTTAAGTATCTAGTTATTTGAGTAGTGGAGTTTTACCACGTTATTGTACTTGATGTTTGCGAAGTATAATAATACCAGTACCAGTTGAAACCTCATCTGTTGGCTTCGTGTTCGTATTTTATCATCGCCACCAGGGAAGTCTTTCTGTTACTGTTGCCATTTTGGTATTTGAACCATCACACCTGTACTATACCAATTACGGTAATATTACGTTGCGTGTGACACTATCTAGAACATGATGTATAATGAATATTTAAAATTTGAACATAATCAGTGAAAGCAAGTCAGAGATATGGCACGAGAACCACATTCATTAATACAAAATGGCCGCCAGTCGGCCATTTTGAATCTTATCTGAAAAACAAAATTATTTGCATCAAGGTCCCATAATGTCTAATGTATATACCAAGTTTGAACAAAATCCATCTGTAAACAGCCGAGAAATGGTTGATTTTTAGGATTTTTTAGCACAAAAATGGTCGCCAATCGGCCATCTTGAACCAGATCGTAAAACAAAATGATGTGCATCAAGGTCCTATAATGTCAAATGTATATACCAAGTTTGAACAAAATTCATCAGTAAATGGCCGATAAATGCTTGATTTTGATGATTTTTAGTACAAAAATGGCCACCATTCGGCCATCTTGAATCAGATCATGAAACAAATTGACGTGCATATGTATAATATCATGTACGATGTATGTGTGAAGTTTGATTGTGATTGGTCCAGGCATTTCTAAGATACAGGTCGGGACGCACGCATGCACACACACAAGAACGCACACATGCACGGACGTCAAAACATAAGTCCCCGTTTTCGGACTGCGTCCGAACGGGAACTAAATATTGATTATAAGATAAGTAGGAATGTAAAATGTAATGTAAAATGTAATCAAAGAAAGGATAGAAAAAACTCCTAATACAACTGATACATTAATCATATTTCTTGTTCAATGTCTACAATAATACACTGGTCACATGTCATTATCTGCAGCATTGCCTAAGTTAATACTTAGTTATGCATACTAGGTCACATGACCATATATAAATACAACTGATACATTAATCATATTTCTTGTCCAATGCCTACAATAATACACTGGTCACATGTCATTATCTGCAGCATTGTCTAAGTTACTTAGTTATGCATACTAGGTCACATGACCATATATAAATACAACTGATACATTAATCATATTTCTTGTCCAATGCCTACAATAATACACTGGTCACATGTCATTATCTGCAGCATTGTCTAAGTTACTTAGTTATGCATACTAGGTCACATGACCATATATAAATACAACTGATACATTAATCATATTTCTTGTCCAATGCCTACAATATTACACTGGTCACATGTCATTATCTGCAGCATTGTCTAAGTTACTTAGTTATGCATACTAGGTCACATGACCATATATAAATACAACTGATACATTAATCATATTTCTTGTCCAATGCCTACAATATTACACTGGTCACATGTCATTATCTGCAGCATTGTCCAAGTTACTTAGTTATGCATACTAGGTCACATGACCATATATAAATACAACTGATACATTAATCATATTTCTTGTCCAATGCCTACAATATTACACAGGTCACATGTCATTATCTGCAGAATTGCCTAAGTTACTTAGTTATGCATACTAGGTCACATGACCATACATTGTCATCTGATATGTTCGTCATATATCTAGTCAAATGCTTCTATTATAGCACTAATAGCATGTCCTTATCTGATCTGCAACAGTGCTCGAGATATTACAGTTATGCATATTAACAAGGTCAAGTTAGCCACGTATTGGTAAGTAGGTAATTAACATGCATGGTTTCAAATCTGAAGTAGTCAGATCTATGGATTATCTAAAAGCACTTATGTACTAAGTTTCATTGAAATTTGATGAGTGGTACTCAAGATATCTGTAAATTGGGTAATTTATGCAAATTAGGCAATTAGTAAGTACAGAATGTAATAATAAACAAATCAAATGTATGTTATCCCAGAACATCTATACACTAAATTTCATTGAAATCTGCTGAGCGGTCATCATTGTAAAAGCTGTAAATTGGCTAATTATTATGCAAATTAAATAAGTAACAATGCACAGACTTATCAAGTACATGTAGTTTTCCCCAGGATCGTGTCTGAACTTGCGCCTGACAAAATCTGGAAAACAGTCATACATGTATATACTAAAACTGGTATACAGCTGCAAGTTGATCCATGTATCATGCATACAGTTGACATCCTGATCGCAGCAGCCTGTTTTCACAAAAAAAGCACGTCTCCATTTCTATCAACAAATTTAACTTGTTTCCAGTAGTCTAAACTTACAATACTGCACGACACATACATCAACTTTTGGTGAAAATAGTAGATCTATGAATCATGGCTTAAAGCTTTACTTTAGATATTAAAAGCAAGTGACAAACAAAATTTGAACTATTAAAATACCTTGAGATGGGGGTTAAAAAGTACTTTCTTTGCATATTCTACTTTATCTGCACTGGTGTAGAAAGTTGTAGTAAGGTGAAGTTGTGGAGCCATTGTATCTTGAACTCTTTTTGTAAACTCTTCAAAGTCTTCAGATTCTCCCTTGTACATTGCTGGTAAAACACTGAAATATGAAGTAAATGTGATTCTTATAACATGCTTTTTTAAATATCAGGTAGGTAGGTTTTTTCTTCTTCTTAAGATTCTCCCTTATACATTGCTGGTAAAACACTGAAATATGAAGTAAATGTGATTCTTATAACATGCTTTTTTAAATATCAGGTAGATAGGTTTTTTCTTCTTCTTAAGATTCTCTTCTGTACATTTGCTGGTAAAACACTGAAATATGAAGTAAATGTGATTCTCATGTAATGCTTTTTTTTTAGTTTTCTATACATTTTGTTCTTTGTTACAATTGTGTTTCAACTAATTCATGAAAGTGTCCTAAATCATTTTTAAATTTATTTACATTTATTTACCTTTTACATTTACAGTTTTGCAAAGTTTTGAATTTCTATAAAACAACATTTCAAGCCTGCTGCAATTGTGACATTTTCTCAAATATGGCCAAAAAAATGATTTAAGGTTGTGTAGTAAAAAATGGTGTAGAGCGAGTTACAGGAACCACACAATTTTCTTTTTCCTTTTTAGTCTTTGAAGATAGAGGATTGATTTGATTTTTAACATGTTCACGTGTATTTTATGGCATAAAAAACATTAAATATGGGCTAAGTTTTTTTTTAATTTATTTATTTTATTTATAAACTTTTATTGGAGTTTGCACTGATATTAACATCTTACATACCTGTTTTGTACATAACAAATTGCATTTAATCTGCATATTTTGAAGTCAAATGGGAAATATTTTTCAAAAATTTCCCCATTAGTTATTATGAGAAGTCAACTTATTCCGTCGGACAGAAATGAAGTACTCTATCTCCATGTCTACACAAGTAAATATAACTTTTTGCTACCAGAAAGAGGAAGTTGACTAAAATTTTCATCCCAAGAAGAATTTGTTTGCATTCGGGAATGCTCTCAGGCCAAGCTTGCCCTCTTCCCTTCCAAAGCATATACATTGTTTCCTAAAAATCTTGGGTACCACTGTGTTGCATTTGTACAGCAATGCGAATCACTTACCGCAGATGAAAAACTGTAAATGGAGAAAAAAAGAACCAGAAAACATCTTGCCACCATCTGCTACCAAGAGTTGATATATTGATGCCAATTAACGGTCGATTTATGACGATTACAATTGGCTGCACCGGCTGATCCAATGAAAATGACCATGTACTATGAATATAAAAAGACACTGATTCAGTCACATTCTTACAATTAAGTTTTCCAAGTCCACAACAGACAATTTAAGATAATATACATGTATATACCAAATACTGGCACATAAACATTTGACTGCCATTTGCCATTTTACCCTTGCTATTCATCCTGTAGTACTTACTATAATAAAAAAAACAACCTAATACCACTTAAAATTTATTATTATTGATTTTTTTTACATGGCTCTCTAAATAGCAGTATGTGTCTATTTAGGACACTCCATTGTCCCCTGTATATTTCACACATACATGTCTCGCACAAACTTCACAATTATTGCAATCAGGGTCAAATTACATGCCATCCATCCCAAAGTACTTAATTATTTTTGTATCATCATTCTTTCCTTCTACCATCCCAGTAAAAATCGCATCTGAATTTCATGGTTCACAAACAAACCACCCTGAATAATTCCACCAAGGTTGTGTATTTGACCATGGAAAAATACATAGATCTTATTGGACATGCTTTTAAAACATGTACCTAATCAGAGTTGCTGCAACTTATGGCAATGGAAATAAATGGGTATCAAATTGCTGATGAGGGTACACTTTAAAAAACATACTAGTTGCCAAAGTATTGTTAGGCAATAAATGGACCTTGCATGGCAAAGACACCCTTTCATCAACTATCCCAAGTTACCACACAGACAATTATTTTCTTAACTCAGCTAACTTACTTAACTGGACTGAGTAAATTCAATGTTGATTACCTAAATTTTAGTAAGCCTTTTTTCCCATTAGTAGTAGCTCCTTCAGGATGAGACAACAGTGGTATGGGACTCTCTTCACAGTGTTCTTTAGCTTTCTCTATAAGCACAGCTCTCCCACGTTTTGCTCCCATATCACGATAGCCGAGCATCCACATCAACATACCCGGCAAATCCCAGACACTTGGCTATGAGAATCAGATCATAGTAGAATTCAACAGTGTTAGTTTCGAATGATATCAAAAAATAATACTTCTGGTATTACTAATAAAAGTCTACGAGATGCAACATGACATGAACACACTGTGCGAGGACTATGGTATATTCAGTGAGCGCACTGGCCTTGGGTGTTACAGTCTCCTTTTAATTTATATATGCAATTTTACCATGGAAATGATTAAAATCGGTGGACAAGGAAACCAGATAGCACGAAACCAGTACAAGAGGTAAAATGACAAGGAAGTATACAAATCAGATCTGCAAATATGTATGGTCAGTGTTGTGTCTGTTTGGATAAACTAGTTTGTGGCCCTGGATTAGTTTCAATATCTCTAATAAGGACAAGATTACTTATCATATGACAATGATACAAATAAAGTGCAAAAATCCAGAAGAATATTATCAAGTTTTTATTATCATACATTAATATTAACAAATCGTGTGAAATTTTATGTACAGAGAAAACACATATTTATGCTTTGGTTGACAGAACTTCTCAAAGTAAAAAAAAAGAGGACCTGCGAAACTTTTATACAATTGTCAGACACGCAGTGAATAGTACCGGTATGTTTTTGTAATACATGTAGTTCCAGTGCCTTTGCTTTCTGAGACAAAATCTGACTCTGCACCTGGGAATAAAAAAAAAAGAACATTTAGTCCAAAGT